GAGAAGGAAACAACAGGGATGTTATTGTGGGAGTCTACTATAGACCCCGAAGTCAGACAGAGGAATTGGATGATGCCTTTCTATAACAGATGACCATACACTCAGAAAGGAGAGATGTAGTAGTGATGGGTGCTATTTGCTGGAAGTCAAACTCAGCCAATACTTCAAGGTCTAGCAAATTCCTCACTTGCCTCAAAGACAAGTGCTTTGTCCAAAAGGTGGAAGAGGCAACAAGGGGATCAGCTATTTTAGATCTGATCCTAACCAACAGGGATGACCTGGTAAATGGGCTACAAGTGGTGGGATCCTTAGATGGGAGTGATCATGTTCTCCTGGAGTTTCTTATACAGTGGAAAGGAGAAGCTAGACATAGTCAAACACTCATTCTAGACTTTAAAAGAGTTGATTTCAATAAACTTAGGGAAACACTGGGAGTGATCCCATGGTCGTGAATACTAGAGGAGAAGGGAGTTCAGGATGGATGGGAGTTTCTCAAAAGGGAGATACTGAAGGCACAATCTCAAACTGTTCCAATGAGAACGAAAAATGAGAGGTGTCTCAAGAAACCAAGTTGGATGACAAAAGAACTTTCAACTGAACAAATTTTAAATGGGAGATGTATAAGAAATGGAAAAGGGACAAAATCACTAAAGAGGAATTCAAACAAATAGTGAGCATATGTAGAGGTAAGGTCAGGAAAGCCAAAGCACAGAATGAGCTCAGACTTGCTAGAGGGATTAAGAACAATAAAAAGGGCTTTTTGGGGTATGTCTGTAGCAAAAGAAAGAAGAAGAAAATGGTAGGGCCACTGCTCAGAAAAGAGGGAGAAATTCTAAAAGGGGAGAGAGAAAAGGCAGAACTACTCAAGACCTTTTTTGCCTTAGTCTTCTCACAAAAAGAAAAGGGTGCTCAACTTCAGGAAAATGAAGCAGAGGACACAATAGGGGAAATGCAGCACAGAATAAGTAAAGAGGAAATACAGGAATACCTGGTTAACCTAAATGAATCCAGGACCAGATAAATTACATCCACGGATACTCAAAGAACGGGCAAATGTAATCTCAGAGCCACTAGCAATAATCTTTGAGAACTCCTGGAGAACAGGAGAAGTCCCAGCAGACTAGAGGAGGGCAAACATTGTCCCCATCTTCACAAAGGGGAAGAAAGAGGATCCCAACAACTATCACCCAGTTAGTCTGACATCAATACTGGAAAAGATTCTAGAACAGTTCATTAAACAGAAAATGTGTGAACATTTAGAAGGAAATGCCATAATCACTAAAAGTCAAAATGGGTTTCTCAAAAACAAGCCATGCCAGACAAATTTCATCTCTCTCTCTCTCTTTTGGATAAAATTACCAGCTTTGTCGATGAAGGGAATGCAGTAGATGTAGCATATCTGGATTTCAGTAAGGCTTTTGACAAGCTCCCCCACAATATTCTTGCAAACAAGATAGTAAAATGTGGGCTAGACAATACAACAGTTAGGGTGCTCAGCAATAGCTCCTCTTCATCTTGGAGAGAAGTAACTAGTGGGGTGCCACAGGGTTCTGTCCTGGGCCCAGTGCTATTCAACATCTTTATCAATGACTTGAATGAAAGAAAAGGGGACATGCTTACCAAATTTGCAGATGACACCAAATTAGGAGAACAGCTAATACCCCAGAAGACAGGATGAAAATTCAAAATGACCTT